TCGTTTTCTGTGTTGGGAGACTTGTATTTAGCTCACTAGCAATTCTCAATTACAACTGACACATATACCTATCTACGTGCAAATAAAAAATGGCTGTCAACAATGACAGCAACGAGGTACAGGCAGCATTAGTCGAATTTATACGCAGCATTGTAATCGGTGTAATGGAAGGCGTTTATCTTCATGAGAGCGACGACGAAAGCCTCATACAATTAGTAACAGATCCTCTATCTTCCATTGGTATGGAAACGACTTCTAGTGGTGACGTGCACTCGTGCAGTCCCCAGGGCCAGAGCCAGAAGAAACCCCTTCGATTCCGGACGACGACGAGAACGAACAACATTTTGATGAGTCAATTGTCTTGCACAGTGAATTGCCGAGTGGCGATGCGCTGTCTCTCGCAGAGTCTGAGCCTGCAGCTCAGACCCCCGAGACAGCACCACTCGGCTACACTGTCCAAGAAAACGACGGTTCGACAAAATCATCAGCAGTTCAGGAGGAATCGCAGTCGGGTGGCGACGCACCGTCCTCGGAGTTGGGGACTGTCGACCCAAATCCGACTTCCGAGGGCGGACCTCACGACGACGTAGCGATGCCTGCAGCTGCAGAAGACGTATTATGTGCAGACATTGAGCAACCGGCCAAGGAAATAGCTGTGATCGACAGTGAGCTAATCGGCAAGGAGAGTCCTGCAGTAGAACTCGAAAAACCCGTTTCTCCACGTAGAAAGTCGACGTGGAAAAGTGTAAAACGCGTTTTTCGCGTGTTGTTTTTCTGCGGCTGTAAAACCACCCGGAGCTAATACTATTAGCATATCCCACTTGGGCCGAAGACGACTTATTAGCTGTCGTGAGTCTATTTTGGTACTCATATAACACTATAGATAATATGAGCCATGAGTATTAACATTGCTTATAATGATTATAATGATTAATTAATGAGCTCGTAGACGCCTATACCTGTAGGCTGTAGTAGGTAGGTATATAAACTTAAAACCTTCATCATATGGGAAATAAGCGAAGGTGTACAATACCGTAAGGCGTAAATATGTGCAAACAAATTTTCATTAATTAAAACGTGACAAAATGTACATAAAAAATATGCAAATTGGTTATATTTGTAAAAATAAATTTACATAAAAGGGTATGTATATAGAATGAAGAATAATCAATTTTATTACGAATAGGTATTTGCATACTTTCTTTGTTTTTGATATTTATAATTATAATTTATTTATATGTATCAATGCCATTAAAGCCTGGGTTAGAAAACGATTTATTGAACTTAATGCTTCTAAATCTAAATTTATGTTTTTTCATAAAAATAATTCTAAAGTCCCTACACGGGACATTTGTCTTACAAGTGAGTAACATAGAAAATGTTATGCTCAGCAGATCATACTTGATAGCTCCGTTAGTTTAAAGATTAGACTTCTCATAAAATTGAATGGTGAAATTATTATCTAGGGCGTCTCATTAGCTTTTTATTATATTTTAGTGTTAAAGTGAATTATGAGTATTTCAAAATTGTAAATTGCTCATACATCTTAAAATACTCATTATGTTATTACGTTGTTTACTGCTATTACGTTTAGACAATAAATTCGACAATTTCGGTAATGGTTGGTACTTGATAATCTATTTTTTATATATGTTTGAATCAGTAATATTTATTTAATTACAAAAACCTAATTTGAATACAAGTCTTAAAAGTTAAAAGGATAGAAAAAAATCTAAATAGAATAAAAAGATTAGCTGTATAAAAAATGTCCAATTTAAATATAATAATTCTACATTGAATAAAAAAATCTATAGGTATTAATAAAAAAAATCTAATTGGATAAAAAGTAAAGTTGAAAGTCTATCTATATAATATATAAAAATGAATGTATGTCAGTGTGTCAGTGTGTCTGTGTGTCTGTGTGTCCATGTTACCATGGTTACCAAGGTTGCCATGGTTACTAAGGTTACCAAGATTTCATATCAACCTTATTTATTTACCTTATTTGGTAACCTTAGTAACCATGGCAACCTTGGTAACCATGGTAACATGGACACACAGACACACAGACACACTGACACAGATAGTTGCCATTGGTTACAGTCTACATTAGAAATTAGCATTTATTTATTGGTTGCCATTGGTTATTCGGGCATATCAGGTACAAGCTTGCATCAAATTGAATTATTGAACATTGCCTACCAGGGTGAGTGGTTGCACTTACCGCAGCAAGTTACACCCAAAAGGAGTTCAACAATCATAATTTTCTATATCAATCTATATATATAAAAATGAATGTATGACAGTGTGTGTGTGTGTGTGAGTGTGTGTGTCCATATTACCATGGCAACCATTTCTGTATATAAAAAACAGTAAGCTGATTGACAGCTATCAACGCACAGCTCAAACCATTGGACGGATCTGGCTGAAATTTGGCATACAGATAGCTATTATAATATAGACGTGCGCTAAGAAAGGATTTGCCAAAATTCGCATTTTAAATAGGTGCTGAAACAGGGACATTGAGATTCACGATAGAAATTGGAAATTTTATTTTTATTTATTTATAGTTGCCATTGGTTACAGTCTACATTAGAAATTAGCATTTATTTATTGGTTGCCATTGGTTATTCGGGCAGATCAGGTACAAGCTTGCATCAAATCGAATTATTGAACAATACTTACCAGGGTGGCAGAGTTGCACTTACCGCAGAAAATTACACCCAAAAGGAGTTCAACAATCATAATTTTTTTAAGAGTTGCGATTTTTTACGAGCAACCAAATTTGTTATATTAATCCACAGTATTATATCAAAATAAACTTGGTATAACTTTGATACTTTAGAGTTAAATCATACATTTCCGTACAAACAGCACGGGGTCCGCGATCTACCGCAGGTAGATTGCCTACCTGATAATGTACCGCTGCGATTCAGAATTTTTATTCCGGGCAACGGAAAAGATAAGATAAATTTTGAATACCATACACCGAATATTGAATAATGAATTGAACAAAGTTTGAGTCATATTGAGTTGAAACATTTAACGGGCGACGAAGTGCACGAGATCAGCTAGTATTTAATAAAAAAGACATCTAATTTGAATAAAAAATCTTACTTGAATTTTTTTTAATCATTTAACATTTTTTTATTCAATGTTTATTTATTTTATTTTATGTGACCTTTTTTTATACAGCTGATATTTTATTCTATTTAGATATTTTCTATTCTTTTAAGACTTATTCAAATTAGATGAACACAAAAATGTTTGGTTGGGTAGCAAAACCCTTGCATCCTCGACGACTATAAAAATGGGTTGGGTTTCCAAAATACCTAGAATGGATTTCAAGTACCACCTGTATCACAATCACATCTTTAGTGTGGGAATGTAAGTCCATTTGTTGAGTCTCAAACATTTTTTTTATAAGTAAAAATGTTGAAAACTTACAAAATAAAAATTATTTTCTAATCCAAAAGGGCATCGGTTTTTCTGGCATACCAAATGTTTTACGACTATAGAGGTTAAAATGATTACGTGGATATTTATCGTCGAATTCGCACAAACATTAGTTCCATTAGGAGTTAATTTTGTTTTGAAATTCCGAAGTGGGGGGAGGGCACGGAGCTCACTTTGTTGCAAGTAAAAAATTACAACTCTTAAAAAATTGTAATTATTCAACTACTTTTGGGTGTAGGTAACTCGTTGCATTAAGTGCCACTCAGCCACCTTGGTAGAATTTTCTTATACAAACTTTCAACACATAAATAATGAAGTCATGGACTCCACTAAACTTTTACTTACAATTAATGTATTAGTGTATTACTCCAATGGGCTTAGTTTTTGAAACTTTTAATTATTTTTATCTTTGGGAAGGAATAAAATGTTACAATTATGATTTAAGGCCAATGTAATTTTACTACCTAGACTAAAATTCAAAAAAGTGAAAACTTATTAGATTCATTAAAAACAATTCACTTACGAAATATTACAGTATAAATAAGCAAAATAATTCTATTCGATTAACCATTTGCACAGTGCACACAAAACAATATAATATTATATTCTCCTTATTAGCAAGCACAGTATTAACACTAGTATTTATTTACTAGCCAACATAATAAATATAAATTGTATGTACGGCATGTACCTACTACCTACCACCTACCACCTACCACCTACGTATAAAGAATGTAGCCGCACACGATCCTCTCTCCGAGCCAAGTTTATACCAATGCTACATCTTATAATATATAAATGAAATAGTTATATACATTACTGAATACCAGTTACTAATACTTAAAATCACATCCTTTATTCCATTGCCCTCTCATCATGAAATATCCGAAATAGTAAATACGCCAGTCACGAGCTATTACCACATCTCTATTAAAATTCTAACATTATGTTATAAATCATAATATAGAATAAGCTTACTCTAATAGGTACCTACCTAAAAGTTGTAGATATACCTAATTAAAATATAAAATAAATTAGTTTATTTTTAAATTTTAATAGAATCTTAAAATTAACATAAAACTGCAAAATACAGGCTTTTGATAGGTATCAAGAAAATAAAAATAAAGAAAACTCATAATAGGCACCTAATCAGTAATCATATTGTCTAGTATATTAGTATATTAGTCCGTGCTATTTACTATCAGTTAGGTCTTATCGTGCAATTCGTGCTACATAACGATAACTTGATAAATCGTTTATTTGGTCTTTGATACGATTATACCGGGAAGCGCTAATCTTGTTTCTAGTATCAATATTCAATACTTTAATTTTTCAACTTTATAAGTCTGTTGTAGCTGTCAGTTGTAATTTGTAAATTATTGTAATTGATTTGTCTTTCTAATTTCTATATATTGATCAATATTTTGTATGTATAGTCTTTACTCTTGTGTACTGTTTACTGTTTAGTGTCACTAGTGTTTGCTGTGCAGACGTGTGGTTCATTGACTCACATTAGACGTTGTAATAGCCACTTCGTTTTAAAAATGGTAGGTGATTGTTTATTGTCGTTTGTTTTTGACCATGGAAACGTTTATCTCATAGATTGTATTAATAAAACCTTGTGGATCTAAAAAATGTCACTATTAGCACATTCATAATGTTATTGTTTGATAACACTGATGAGGACGGTCACTTGTGTAGTTGTGTCATATTATGTGTTTAGCCAGATTGAACTGTGTGTTTATAGATGTGATTGATTTTAAAACAATTAAACACATAGTTTAAACATAGGAAACGTTGTGGCAATGCAACAACCTCTCATACCACAAAAGGCAGTGTCAAAAATATCCATAGCAAAAACACAGTATGATTCCAACCTTACAGTTGTTTAATGTTAAGTGACATTGATCGTGTGTTTCGTGGTTAACTATTAAGTATCACAGTACAATATATTTGTTTTAAAATTTTAAACATGGAACACTCATATGAAGTATATAATTAAATATTTAATAACATTACATTTTAATCTGTTTTTTCACAGTTGTTCTACTCATTTTTTAAATCACTCGTTGGGAAGGATGTCGTTGTTGAATTAAAAAATGATCTGAGGTAAGTGATGAGTTGTTTTTATTACCTATTCTGGAATTAAAAGCATTATTTTCTTAAACACATTTTATTTCTAGTATTTGTGGTACATTACATTCTGTGGATCAATATTTGAATATCAAACTCGTTGACATAAGTGTAACTGATCCTGAAAAATACCCACATATGGTAATTACTTATTAGTTTTACTTCAATATGAAGAAAAAAAACTCATACTGTTCGTTGTTTAGGCTTCTGTAAGGAACTGTTTCATCAGAGGTTCAGTGGTTCGCTATGTACAACTACCAGCAGATGAAGTTGATACACAGTTGTTACAAGATGCTGCACGTAAAGAAGCAACAGTCACACGCTAATATATTTTACATTTAATTACAACTAGGGAACTTATTGTTTAAGAAGTAATATAAAAATAATTCATTTTCAAAACATTTATTTTCTGTTTTGAAATACAATTGCACATGGTGTGTGTTTAAAGTGTCATGGCCTAATATTTTTTGGGAAGGTGGTCACTCTCCCAGACCCAGACATCAACGTACAGAAAAATCATGCATATCACTATAGTGTATTATGATGAAAATGTTAACTCTCTAATTTTATTCTAGTAGGCTGTGTTAGTGGAAGTACAATTAGAGGGTGGGGTGGATGGGTTGTTGGTCCATCAAAAAAAATAATTTGCCACACCTCTGTTTTAATGTAATACAAATTAAAAGCTATGGCGCTTAACTTAAAAGTAATGTAAACAAGGTTGACAAGTCAAGTTATGATAAAAAAAACTTACTAGGAAACTATACTATTAAATTTTCAAATGTTTTTTTCATTGCTAATATTTGAAAATTTAATAGACAATTCCTAACAAGCTTTTCTTATCATATCTTCACAAAAAAAAAAAGTTTACCTTAAAGTAACTCCATTTATAGCCATGAAAAATGTTTAATTTTTAATTAATTTTTTTTTTTTTTTTTAATTAAATTTGATTATTTATTCAAGTATGCTGGGTTGACACATTATCTCTAAAAATCATTTTTCGTATACAATGATTTTATCATTTAACACATCCAGTACAATGACATACTTACTATAGACAATTACTCTGTACAGTAAAGCAGTACCCACTTGTGAACCTTGTTTACATTACTTTTCAGTCAAAACTGATGAATATCCAAAATCGTAAACAATTTAAATTTAAAAACTCATAATAAATGAATATTTCTTTTTAGTTAACTTTTTTTTTTGTTAAGGGTAAAAGGTTTTTGGGTAATCATCCATTACATTTTCAAAAGTTAGTTATGAAAATCAGTTTTCTTATGAATTTCCAACTGAAAAATTATTTAAAAATTTAGATGAATTTTGACAAAATTCTTACTACAGTTTCCCATTACTTACCAAAACTACTGAGAATTTTCAATGTTAACCTCATGAATGCATCAAATAGATTTATTTTTCTATCAGAAAAGATGCTTAAATGGTAAAAATCGGAGAATTTTAATAGGTACCCCAAAAGTGTATGACAAACAAAAGAAAAAAAAGGTGGGCGAGTGGGTGTCGCTCTGCTGTACACAAGCCCTGATTAAGCCCCCGGGCCTCTATAGTTAGAATTTATTTAGGTGCCTCAGATTATTCCACTATTTTCTTTGTTATAGACTATAATACTGCATAAATCACCTAAAAAAAAAAAATCGGATACATTATTCATTATTTATTGCTATGTTCCTAATACCTATATACAGGGTGATTTTTTTATCGAAGAACACTCATTATTTCAAAAAGTATTAATGTTTAAGAAAATATTTTTTTACATAGTTTCAAGTTGTTAAAAAACAATATTTTTATTAAAAAATTATATTTTTAAATATTTTTTATCCTTTTAATTTTTTAAGTTTTTTACTTTTTTGAATGACAACATCTAATTTTAATTTGATATTCAAAAACAGAATATTTTTCTGATTATATTAATACATAAAAATTGAATTTAGGGCAAGTAGTTTATGAGTTATAAGTATTTAAAGTTTAGATGAGCGGAGTAGAGGACAAACATTTCGCGGGGTAACCCCGTACCACTCTACTCCGCTCATCTAAACTTTAAATACTTATAACTCATAAACTAATTGCCCTAAATTCAATTTTTATGTATCGAAATACTCAGAAAAATATTCTGTTTTTGAATATCAAATTAAAATTAGATGTTGTCATTCAAAAAAGTAAAAAACTTAAAAAATTAAAAGGATAAAAAATATTTAAAAATATAATTTTTTAATAAAAATATTGTTTTTTAACAACTTGAAACTATGCAAAAAAATATTTTCTTAAACATTAATACTTTTTGAAATAATGAGTGTTCTTCGATAAAAAAATCACCCTGTATAATTGAAGGGGTTAGTAGATGAAGGTTTCAACTCACACTTTTGAAATTATTCAGGAGGACAGTTTTAGTGGTTTAATAATATAAACGTTTGGAACGTTTTAACTGTTTTAATGCTGAGAAATTTTTGAAAACAAAAATTATGTATTTTAAACTCATAATCAACACTCTGAAATTTTATCTATTAATAAAATAGTAGAGGATTAATACAATGATACCTTATCCACAAAACAAGAACAACAGATTGCAAAAATAACACTTATCAATTTGATATCTCCATAAATATATGCATCATTTTGTATAATGATAACGATTTTACAAAAAAATTCAGTTAACGCCTTCATCCTCTAACCCCTTCAATTATTATAACAGGTACCTAATATTAAATAATAATAAATGCATTATTATTTTTTTTTCGTACAGGGGCCACATTTAAAACTTTGGCCAATGGGCCTCAAAATGTCTTAATCCAGGCTTCGTTATACAGTAGGTTACAAGTGGGTCACTGTAATGGATGTTGTAAGTTGTTAAATTCGAATTCGATGATATAATATCATTGTATAAGAAAAACGATTCTGAGCGAAGACAGTCAGTTAGCCTATGATTTTACTAAGTATATTTGATGATATTATTATGAACAAAGTAATTTTTATATAACCTGCTTCCTTGAAATCTTATTTTGAAATTTCAATCCTTAGATATAAAAGTTGAACATTTTATAAATTTTGAACAACAAAATAATTATTGTTAAATTTGATAAATGTTGTAAAAATTCAAAATTCAAACTTAATGCTTATAAAAAAAAATTGTGACTGTGTTTTTAATATTTTTCAATTGCTATTGTAATAATATATCAGGAGCCTCGTATTACATTCTCACTCATTTTTACCCAACAAATAAAATTTTATTGACAATTATAGAAAAAAAATTGGGTAAGTGGATGTCACTGCTGTCATAGGTTACAATAGTGGGTCACCGGATAATGGGCGATTCTGAACAGAGACAGTTTGTCTGTCTGGATATTTTATATTTTATTATAGATAGCCTGTAGGCTGTAAGTTTAATTAGTATTATAAATTACAACAAAATTACTAAAATCGTTATTTTTATTTTATTTTTTTTTGTTTCTATGGTGATAAATGATAATATTTTGAAAATTTTATCGTGTATAGACAATGCGAATATAAACAAACAGAAAATTGCGTGTATATAAGTTCATTTGTTTTGGAGTTACACAAAAAAAAAAAAACTTCCCGTTTTTCCTTAATTATTATGTTATTCTTCCCGGCGCTTTTGAAAACTATTCAGAATCTTAAAATTTGACTTCCCAAATACACAAACTAGATTCAGATACTGTTGTACAAAATCGAAGCAGTTTTACTGCCCTAAACGGTGGTTACAGACACAAAAATAAAAATTAAATTAAGTAAACAACACACTTCATTGTAAAATCAATAGGTACATTCATCGCTCCGCTCAAAATCACAAAAAAGTTGGGCAATGATGCATTCCTAGGTAATGACGATAACTACTGACTTTTTCGGACATAATTGATGAAAATGTTGAATCAATTCAAAAAAAAAATGTATTGTAAATTGGTAACTGGTTGTTAGATGAACTCTAATTTTAAATACCTAGGTAGGTAACTACTTATTTTATAAGTTGTTAACAGTTACCTATTAATGTAAAGTTGAAATAATGTATTTGTAAATTTTAATAATTAGAAACGGCCTTAAGTCGATTTATCGAAAAATCGGTACTATAGCAAGTAACAATAATAACATACTTTCCGACTCTAATCTTCCATCTCTAATCGTCCATGTTCGTACATTACCCACAAGACGTAGGTGGTACTGGTGGTAGGTACCTATATATTATAATGCAAGTATAAATTATACGGATAATTGCTTATGACACTTAAATAAATATAATATTACTGTTTTCTTAAATGATGAGTGTCTAACACTGTCGGCCTGGTACCTAAAGGGCCCCGGATGCATTTCTTCAGAAGGGCCCCCAAAAATGTTTTTTCATAAAATTATTAAAAATGTACTTATAAGTAGGTAGTGTAAAATATTATAATTTTTTAAAGGTACCATATATAAAATTAACCATCCATTAAGTTAAGATTTAAGTTAGATTAATAATTTATTATTCTAAACAATTTTTTACATATTACATAATATAAATAATACCTTCTCACATTATACAACTTAATATTTTTTTAATGTGATTCAAATTCAAAATTAATTGTGCATTTGGTTTTCTTTATATCAGTAATGTTTTTAGTTCACTAGATGAGTTAGCAATCGTAACAATCAACTCATCTGAGTCAATCAAAATATCCTTTTCAATGGACATTAGCAATAATGGATTAAGATGTTCTTGGTGTAAAGAAGACCGAAGTTTAGTTTTGATTATTTTCAGCTTTGAAAATACTCTTTCACAGGTAGTCTGTGTTGATGGTAATAGCAACACAAATTTATATAATGTGAACAAATTACAAAATAAATTAGATTGACATGACAGCTCTTGGAGCAAAATCAATGCACACTGAAGACATTTAGTGCATTTGTCACATTTAATTTGTTCGGTGGGTTTAACTTCAATATCTTCATCTTCATCAATATATATAATTTTAGAAGATTTAGATTTAATATCGTGAAAATCATTTTCAGATACATCTGGTATGAAATTGCTACCTATACTGACAAGCAAACTGTTTTAGCTCAATTGCAATGATCTCTTTGTCTAAATCTGCTAGTTTACATATTGTGTTCAACGAGTCTTTAGGAAATTGTTCAAGTTTATTAATAAAAGCAAATGTTCTAGGATCCAGCCAATTTAAATCTTTTAATAACATTTCATTAGGTACAAATCGTGATTTTATGCTATTAAGAATAGTATCTATAATAGAATAAGAATTTGACTTAAATGTTGTGTAAGGTGTTATAATTCTAACTTCATCTGAACACTTTTCTCCAGATAAAGTTT